CCTGGAACCTCTGCTAAGACCAGGAAACATCAACTTTTTAAAAAGTGCATCCTTAGGGCTTTTAAAAGAGGTTGTTTGGGAATTTTAGAGAACTGAAAATAGGTGAGAGAAGAGAGAACAAATGAAACGTCTTAGTCTTTGGTCACTACACAACTCTTGTCTTTTTATATGGGCCGCAGTGGTTTTGTCTTGTATGGTGACTCGGTAGCCTGATCAGAACTACAGCAATAGCTCACATCAAAGTGCAGTTTCTCACCAACGTGGTTTGTTGCAAAACCGAGAAGTTTCCACCTGAAAGGAATGTGCTTTCTGTGAAGGGTAGCGTATGTATTGGGTTCCAACCGCCCCAAATCTCCTTTTCTTCATGCCAGATCGTGAGACTGAATTTGGGGGCTTAAAAAAAGGTGCTTGCTCAGAATGTGGAAAAAAATTAAAAGCTGAATGTAAGCCATAAAGAAAAAAATGGATACTGTTGTGTTGTGAGTGCCTCGGTGGCCCTGCAGGAACTGCGGGTCTGGTTTTCTTCGGATCAGTAGGATGGCCCGTTCTCCATCGCTGTGGAGTCACCAGTAAACCTGTTGTGGTTCGCTGCTCACCCTGGGAAGGTCTGAATGAAAAAATCACTTTAAAAGAAATCTCGACTGGCATTTCAGTAAGAAGACTTGTTACTTTTGTTAATAGATTTGGCCTATTTAAAAAAAGAAATAAAACAGGAGCTAGAATGGCCTTGAAAATAGCCAGTGAGACCCCCCAGTATCAGTGTCACTCTCTGCCATTGTGTCACCTTCCTCAGCCCAGGTTCCTAGCTCCTCCTCTGGGGACAGAGCTGGGTCTTCCTGCTGGACCCCAGTTGTTTAATCTGTGATAAAAATAATAAGTGTACAAATCTGACATAAAAATACTAAGTTTATTGCTTTTACTTCGTTTTCCCTTAACTTTCAGTTAACAGTCGTAGAAAAAAGAACACATGTGCTCTTTGTGTCATTTTCCATGTCAAGGGAAACCTGCTCATCAGAAAATATTGTCAGCACCATTTGTACACCGAGTTGAAGTAATGCTGCTTCAATGTGGGCGTTATTAAAAGGCAATTAGGTTGAAATGAGAGTCGCCCTCATTTCCCTTTATGATTAGTATCTCTCCACTGCAGGCGCAGAGCAGGTGTTGTTGTTGGGTGGGTAAGCGGTGGAAGACAGTCTACATCAAAATGTTATAATCCTAACAGATAATTTTTGACACAAATCCTATCACATGTTTTCGATGTAAAACAGATCATCACTATTGAAAAAATAAACCCGGAATTTTACTGTCTGTAAATTATAACTCCATAAGGACATAAACAAGCCTTCCCTTCGCAGTGACCTTCTCCGTAGGTCACAGGGCGAATCCCACTCCTTGCTTCCTCCCCTTCACGCGCAGGATCCAGGTGGGGAATCCTCAGTCCCTCCCGCCCACTGAATGGCGGATGAGTCGGCCGTTTTCTCTGAAGTGAGATGGTACATTCAGACCTCATGAAAGGAAGGATATGGCGACTTCATGTTGTTTAAGCAGGAAAAGCTTCACTCTTTTTATTTTTTTAACTTTTTATGATGGGAACTTTCAAACACACAAAAGTAGGGAGAACAGTATCAGAACCTCCATCTACCCATCACCCAGCTTCACCAGTTTTCAACAGCCTCTTGACGTGAGACTGCTTTTCCCTTCTTGTGAGCGTGCTCAGCTGTGCAGGCCTTGCTGCTCCAAGGCGCCTTCTCACTTCCCCCAGCGCTCGCTCATCTGCCTCCTGTTTTGTGACCAGGCCGACCTGCAGGGTCCCGGTTTATATCTGTTCAGGGCAGAACCTAATCCACAGTCTTTCTGCTTACAGATGCTTTCATCTAGTCCCTTTAAACAGATGAACACTATAATGTCCCAGAGAACACCTGCAACATGCTCCATGTGACTGAGCCAAGGAAAGAATCCATTGTCCTTTGCCCCTCGATGTATGGCAGGCCCAGGAAAACGAGCCTGTGTGCTTTGCAGACACAAGCATTGGCCAAGACTTGGCAAGAAAATGAAGGAGAATATAAGTGTGAAAGGTGAAATCTCATGTCAGTGAGGACTGGTGTGAACCCTGAAAAGGGGGTGGGGGGGGGGCGGGCACATTTCTACAATTTGCCCAACAAATGTGTAAGAGAGTGACTGGCATTGGCTCTGCTGAACAAGGGATTCAGGAGAAGGGCGACTCCCATTCTGTTGATTCTGTGTTGATTGGCAAGTGGATTTTTCCAAACTTCTCTTAACCGAGGTTTTGGGAAAGTAGAGGTTTTGAGATGTATCTCTGGTAAGAGGCTGGAGTGTTGATTTTGTGGGTTAGGAGCTGAAGCAAATTTGGGTGTTGCTGCTGGGGAGGATAGTGAGGTCATAGGGGTCACGTGCCAGAGTGGACGCCCCTCCCACCCCACGCGTGGAGCTGCTGAGAGGCTGGCCACTAGCAAGGTCAGGACTTCGAAGTCCGAAAGCCTCCCTGCTGGCCATGTGCTTTGTGCCCTGGGAACATTTTGGTTATATCTTTTTATCATTATGGCACCATATTTCCCCTTCTGTGATGTCTCCCTTTATGAAATATCGTATTAACCACTTTATAATCAAAATGAACGTTTCCTTTATTCATTATTAAAATGTCTGCCATCATTTCATGTTTATATGATGCCTTCAGAATAGGAAAGAAACTGGTTTTTGTTTGTTTGTTTTTAACTCTTTATGTTGAAAGTATTACAT